TGTGTGTGTGAGTGTGTGTGGATTATATCTTTGTACAGCTGTGGTAGACGATCATACAGTTGATATGAATATGGTTTCGAATAAGTAGGGCTGAAATAAAATCGACAATAAACAATATTAACAATTTTGATAACTGATTCATATTTTTTTTTCTCAAATTATTTATCAAAGAAAAATCAAATATGCTGTACGGACTTTGAGACTTCACGCAAAACACATTATTGGACTTTTTTTTTATGTTTTAGAACAAAACAAATAAGAGACAGATCAATCAATAATAAAAAGAATTGCTAGTTGTAAATATAAAAACAAATACACCTGTTTTTAAGCCTTACTTGTCACTTTTAATGCTCATACTCTCTTTTTCTGCCTCTTCAATGTGACACCCAGCCCCCTGAGCCACACCATGAGTGTGCCGACGATGAGGTAAAACACTAAATCCTATATTTACCGCTCACTGCTGCGTGTGTGCGTGTGACTAAACAAAAAGTTAAATTCAGTCGTTAAAACTTACAGAAAAAACAGCAGATTTGTCATTTATGTTGTGTGTAATTTGTCTTCACGTTTCTCCGCAGACATTCCTCCACATTCAAGTCTTTTGAGGAGATGGTCGGCAGTGTGAAGGTGAGTTTTGTTAGAACAGCAGATGTGTAGTGAGCAGGGAGTGTTTGTACTGTGTGTGTGTGAGTATTGATCACCTGTTTCCTGTCCGGATCACACAGGATAAGATCACTGGCAGTCCGGCAAATAATGGAGACACCTTCGGGTTTGAGAGAAGATCACGCCACAGCACATGAGGGTGGACCTTTCTATCACAGTTAATTATTTTTCATACCATGTAAAGTTGTTTCTGACTGTTGCATTAATACAACACGACTCATAGAATGTATTGAATTTAAGCTGCAGTGTAAAAATAGTATTTTAATATGTGAATAATTATATTTCTGCATGTTGGATTCATGTAATATTTAAGAGTTATTTATTTTTACCTGTGAGCGCAGTAAACTTGTTTTACTACTCACAATATGCATTCGTTGACATTAATTGTGACATTTACGAAACAGAATATCACTAACGAAGTATTTTTGTATTTCAAAATTTTTCAATTAAAGTCAATTGAATGGTGTCTGATGTGTTTTTTTAATTGATGGTCACATAGGTACTTTTAATTTACTAACATTAGTGTTTCAATCTCAGCGATTTCTGAGCTTCTCTCAGTGATTGTGGCCTTGTCTTATATTTTGCCTCTGGGTGGCGCTAGAGGCTTCAAATTTATTAACAGTTGTTTTGATCGGCTTTATGGAAACTAGATGCAAGTGTGTCTATTGTACTAAACTAAAACAACATTAGATGCAAGTTTCAGCTTTATCTTCATTATACAATATTAAATTGAATTAATTAAAGAATTAAAACAATAAAATAGAACAAAGAAGAAGAAACACTACAGGTAGAAATACTGTTAGTGCCACCAACAGCATCACAATCTTCAGTGTAAGTCAAAATAATTAAAGTTTTCTAACATTAAAAATTCTTCTTTTGTATATTTAAACAATATTCTGAGGACAGCTGTCGTCCAAAACATTTATGCTTCACCTGTGTGCTGTTATTTAGCATATTGTATCTACAGGTGTCACTTTCTTAAATATAATAAATATTTATATTAAATTATGTTGTTCTCTGTAAACCCACATACATTTTATAAGCACACAGTAAATAATAGAATTGCCTTCTGGTCATTGTGTAAGTGGTGTGTTTGTCAGCTGTTGTGTTCTTTCTCTAGACTTTGACTTTGAAATATATATTATATGATATATATACATATGAGAAACATATATGTACACACATATACAACAAAACATATGTGCAATATTAGTATAGCACATTTAAATACTTCATAAACATATAATATACAAACATAACATAAACATATATAAACATAACATTTCTGACATCTGACTGTAATCACTTACAACCAAACATTTAATGCAGTGGCAGACATTTAATGATATTATACATGAATGCCATGTCGTGACACAGGTCGTGAGAAAGATCTATGAAAAAAGCGAGTTAGAGTAAGTCAGCGGCTCAAAGGGAATAAAAGAGTCGTTCCCTGACCGGGAATCGAAC